CTCTCAAGTGTCTACGATAAATTACAGCTTTTACATGAAGTTGTTTTCACATGGTTGAGGATTTAAATGTTTTACCGTGCCCTTTAAGGATTTCCTGAGCAATCAAAACATAAGATTGTCCATCTTGGTACACATTCTGTACAAGGCTGAATGATTGTTGGGGTAATTGCATTTTGTGGTTTTCTTTAGCTACAGAAAAGCACTTCTTACACATTCCATATTGTTTTCTAGCACATATTAAATGCCTTTAAATAAAACTACTAAAACACACGCACATACAATTTGGCAAAATAAAATATGTTTTAAAAATACAATCGCAGGACATAAACCATTTACAATTGGGCCAGCGGTTAATGTAATTTAATGACTGTTGTTTTGTTTTTCAATATTATGACACTGATATGATACTATATACTTGAAATATTTCGGAACTTGGATTCCCAAATTGCTGGTCTTTCAGGGTTAAAGATCCAGGTGTCAGGGGCCTTAACTTTATACAGACCTGAAACCAATTGTGTAATGACAGAGATATAAACACGTGTGCTGTTTGTCTGTTCTTATGCCAACGAGGTAAACATCAGAACATCCAATTACTGTCACTATGATTTACTCAGAAAGGACAATTCTTTCAAAGATCCAGGCCAACAGGCATGTGGAGTATCAGTTCTGCAGTCTTTTATTAACAAGGTGGATTGATTTACAAATCAGCAATTGCACAAAAGGCAATTTGATGCATTTTGTGGTTTTGTGTTTATATTTGTTTGAAAGAGTGAGACCAAGCTGCTTCACACCCACTGATACTTGAACTGTGAGTAAATTTTATTATTTCCTACAGCTACGGAAAGGATGTAATTACAGCTACATATAAGAGTGAAGTTAAATGGGCATGTCTTGCGTCAGTGTAGAAGAGCTGAAGCACGTAACAGGTCTGACACAGTGTTTGCATAAAAACAATTATGAAAATTAACCTTTGCAAAGGTGTTAGCAGAGGTGTTTTTCCACAGGAATTCAATCTCACAAGTTGTCAAAGAGAGACGCAAAGCAAAAGATTAAATGCCTGGCTCTTATCTGGGGGACCTTTTCAGGCCAACCATCACTCCCTATCAAATGACATTAAGATAATGAGCCAGAGATGGTACAAAGAGCCACAGGCATCAAATTAGCCAAAGTCTCATTTGTGCTTCCCATGGCAGTGACGTGGGATCAGAGGTGTGACTGCTTTACGCATTTTATTTACACTAAATTTGTGTGTGTGGGACTTAGCGCTCTCGGCCGAACAACTTAAACGGTGCAAGGCCACTGCCAAAACATGGAGCCTCTTTTAGCACCAAGGTGGTAATGAATCTCTCGCCCCACAGCGCTTAACCATCACAGTTCTAACAGGTACGAAAGCAAAAGGGAGAGGGCTGTGTTATCTTAAACAACATATGCTAATTTGAAGTCTGTCCGCAGCATTTTCATGTGAACAGTGATTACAAGGATTAAGGATGTTCAGTTTCAGAAACAGGTATCAGCATAAGCTCAGATACCACAATGTTTTTAGGCATCTGTACTTTAGGTGCCTTCATTTGCTCTGGTAATTATGGTAAATACCACTTGCTGAGTGGGAAATTTCACATGAACGGCCCCCACATCTCGTATTTGCCAATTGTGAGCATGTTAACTCATATTTGTGTTTACACGTAATAGTGTCATCATTTTGACTTTGGCAATTTAAACATGTGTTGTATAGTAATTGTTCACCAGTTACAGAAACTGACTTCAATAATTATGGCACGACTCAAAAACAAAACTTCAGTTTCTCACACCAGAAAATCTTTTTCTCAGTTTGTCTGATATTTGTTAAATGCTAAGGTAAAAACTTGTCCAGGGTTTTATGGTACACTCCATTTTGCTCTATTCTATCTATTTCAAATGATAGCATGATGTTCTGGGATAGTTTCATACATGTAAAGAATATAATTCCAGTGAAGAATATGACAAAAGTTGCAGAGGTCTGGGATTGTGTCAGCATAATGAGATAGGTTGATGCCACCATGTTTAGTTTCACTTACGACAACAAAATAACAAAATATGCTACCTGAAGGTAGCCTAAAGACTAATTTGTGCTTAAGAAGATTGATATCTGCTAAATTATTTAGACTCTAAGACTACAATTTCTACTAGAATAATAACCATATTTCAAATAATTGTATAATTTTAGTGAATGTAACTACAGGGTTTAGTGGTTGGATTTATAGAAATTAAAATAGCTGTCATATTTGGATTCTATTATACAGAAAGATTGTCTTTGAGAGTATGATCCTTTCTGACTTTTAGTTTGAGACGCCTCACTGTGTTATGGGGTCCTTTTGACTCAAGTGTGGTTAGTTCCACACCATATCGGCCCTTAACAGACTTGTTAATACTCCAAGGGGCCACTTGAACCTATCAACAGTTTCCCTAATGGGCAAGTTCATGTTTATTCTCTCCCCACTGGTCAGCACTTCCCCTGGAGAAGACAGCCTCTTCTACCTCCCAATCTCTCTTCATCAATCTCCCAGATTCCACTCAATCAATTTCTCTTCACTTCTTGCGGCCTCGGCGCTGCTCCATCATTCTCTCACAGTCCTGCTCCTTTTCGCATCACACTCTAATCTCTCGACTGAAAGGTGTTTCCTGAGGAGGCCGTGCGAGTGGACAGCACCAGTGATGGATTGCTCGACTGTGGACACTTCAGTCAGTCCTTTTTAGGCAGGGAATGAACAGGGCTGAGGCACAGCTTTGGTAGAAATTTAAGCTGCCGAACTGATCATGTTATTGAGCTTAACTGACTGTAGTTACAGATAGCATTTAGCAACCCTTATCCTTACAAGTTGTATGAATACCATTTAATGCAATACTATAGTTCTCTTTTGAGGTCTTGGGAGTGAACATTTAAAACGATATATTATTTTGATATACTTAAGAGAGTAACATGCATATTTGAACATCAAAAGTATGTATTTTAGTTTAGAGGCTGTTGCTTGCAGGAAGAGCAGATGATGTCTCCTGCAGGGCAAAGTCCTCTTCAGCTGAGCCCCTCATGTAAATACACGAGAATACTCCTTAAAGCTATTGATATGCATCACATCTACTAAATTGCATACAGCAGATGCGGCCTTAGCACTTCCTTCTCTGCCCTTCAGTCATATGCATTCAAGTGCTGTGTTTGGTTACACAACATATCCACATGAAGAATCAGACAGGAAAAGTCAATAGGGAGGAGAGCTTGTCCGACAGCTGCCTGCCTGCTTGGGTAACACTCCTGTGGGACCCCCTGAGAAGAACTCAGGATGGGGTAACGTCTGCACTACAGTTGGAAAGGCAAACTTCAAACAGTCCCATACACCTCCGCCTCTGTGTCCCCCTTTTTCCCGCTGTTCGTCCTGGGCTCCATGGGGGACCTCTAAAGACCGGTCCAGGAGTCGTCTAGCTCCAACTGCCATCATCGTATGCTACCAGGTGTTTTTCTTTTTACTAAAGAACTAATTCCATGCCATTTTTCATCCCAACAGTGATTTTCAAAATACATTTTTTCATGACTGGTGAATTTTGGGATAAATATGCAATACTCTAGAAGATCCTGCTTAAACTAAGTCCTGTCATAAGCCAGTTGCTAATGTAATAACAAGCATTCATGGCATTTGTTGGCACATTACTCTAGGATCACAGTGGCTCAGCTGAGGACACTAGTGCAGCAGAGCCCCACAGAGAATCACATGCATCTACGCTTGGCCTGACGGCAGACAACAGTCGCCCTGTCATCTCCAATCGCTGAACACTCATGTTGGAGCTGCGACACCTCAACAGCGCTCTGTGGCGGTGCCCCCCTGGTGTCTCACTGCCGCCACGGTCCCACTGCAGCACTTACTTCAGCTCTACAGAGCAAACACAGAAATCGGTCTGTCCCAAAAGCAGCTACTTTAGACAGTAATGTCTAATTAGTTAGAGAGCAAACAATCTTTCATTCAGTAAAGTAAGAAGGAAACAGACATTCCAGGATACTTTACAATTACAATTTCACTAACTTTGGGTCTTCTTGAAGAACATCTTAGAATCTGAGATGCAATATCTTAAAGTCACATGACCAAAGCGGTGAGAGTATAAAAGGGGGCATGAGGTTCAGCTGTATTAGTGTCCAATTGTCTAGTTAAATTTTATGTACTAAAATTACAATTGGAATATTGCAGAGTTTTGAATTTGAACCAGCAGAAAATGCTCCAGTAAGCACAAAAATCACACTATCATTGAAATCCCAAATGTGTGACGCATTCAGACCTACTTTTTGAGTTGGTGTGGAGGTTTGGGGGCTGACGAAGATGACCTCTTATTGTTGGGTGCTCCCTTTGTGGTCACTCCTCACTGTACTGAGGAGAGTAAAAGAAAGGGCTGCTCTAACAGTCGGTCATGCCCCACTGCTCCTGGCAACAACAGGTCCGGAGGACGCAGACCTGCCTGGCCTATATTGGCTTGGCTCGCAGTCTGCATCAGCGCCGCTAGCCCCCTGTCAGCTGTCCCATTCAAAGCTGGACTGGCCCTTTATTAAAGCTTTGAAGATTCTTGAACAAAGGAAAGTCCTATGTTTAGATGATAGAATGTAAGCAACTGGTTTTCTGCTTGGGCAACAGAAAACAAAGAGCCTTCTTCTGAATACAGAGTGGAAGCGGTGGAGATGTTCTGTGAGAGAGCGAGCTGAGAGTTGTGAAGATGGATAGGAAATTAAAGATATCTGGCAGGTGCTTGTCGCTAAAACATATGATGACTTAAGGTTTTATATTAATCCCACAAGGCAATGTAATCTATTATAAGGTTCAAGTTAGAGCCAATTTAATACTTGCTGCAGCTGGACACACTGATTTGGGGACTTGGAGGATGGGCATAACAAAACTCCAAATATGGGGCCAAATAGCCTAATTTGTAGTAGCGAGCAATGTTTTGATGCTGGTCAGAGGTATTTTCTAGCACAAACTCTCTTGTACCTGATCATGGCTGGCTTGGAGGGTGCTCCCGGTGCCGTGGAAAGTCATCTGCACAGGCGAGAGGGTCAGGTAGGTCACAAATTCCTTGCCACTTTGTGCGTCACTGTACTGCACCTGCAGGACACAGAAAATGTGGAAATGAATCTGGTGAAGTCTAAGTGGCAGATTGTAAAACAAGTTCTCATTGCAACATGGATCAAACATAAATGGCTCAAGACTAAATATTCCTCGTCTAATTGCCACCATGAAACAATTGTGGAAAATTACCCATGTGTATGTGTAACTTTTGGGGGTGCCCAACGTAACTGTGACATCAGTACTGACCCTTCATCACAGAAAGGTTAAATCTGTTGGCATTTCTCAACGTTCTGCAATCAGGACTGCTCCGACATGACGCTCTTCTGGGACGGTTTGGTCCTTTGAGCCAAAAGCTGTGGTAACAACACTGGCAGCCCCTCTGCCCTACTTCTCACTGGTTCTTACTCTGAGCACGCGTGTGCATTTGCATGAGTATACGTGTGCACGTACATGTCCAGGAGTTGGCTTGCCCTACTTAAGGCCAAAACAACTGAAGAGATTATCATAAGGAAGAAGAAGGTTGTATGAGGCTTGGCAGATAGAATTGTGTAAAACTGTGTTGCTACACAAAACCTTTGGACCTGTAGCACATTTGGACACAGGTACAATTTTACAGTAAAATTACATGCTTTTGTAAAAAAGTTTGGGCAAGATATGGACCTCCTTTTGTAAAGGGCCCCGCTTCAAAATGTCCAAAGGTGCAATATCATCAGCAGATTTCAACCAATATCTACTTCCTTTGGTTACACAATGATGTGCAGTTTATGTGAAAAGAAAAAAAAAAAAAAACAATTTGAAGACCCAAAAAAAAAACAAAAAAAAAAAACAGTGGCATTCTAAGCAGGCCTTACGTATTATCCCAGGTTCCAACTCAGAAAATGGCCTCTAATCCACTTCCTCTAGAGACAAAGACAGAAGAAAGTTATGCAAGGCCTGCGATTGATTGGCGGCACTAATGTGGAACGACCTCTGACATCTGGCTTCTCAATGGCTGGATGGCTCTCTGCAAATGCTTCTCTTCACTGGAACAAACAGGAACATGCACAAACTAAATGCAGCCTCACTCAGAGTATACAGGAGCATCAAAACGATCTTCTATTAGATGTATATGAGTATGTGCAATCTACAACAACGAACTAAACGGAAACACCTTGATAATAACTGCATGCAGATATCACTATATTTAGAACAGAGTGAGGACTGAGGACTCTTGAAACAACAATGGCACATATCTAATTTAGCAAAGTACTGAAAATAACTACTTGGAGGTTGATTACACACAAAACTGAGTGCAGTTGAGTAACAAACATCACAAAAATAGCCCCAGAGGCCTACAAATAAAGCCAAGAAACACTTGAGAATCTGTTGGTGAGAGGCAATTAGAGCCACAAAGTGAGGTTCTTCAGAGGGTACCAGGGTCAAGAGCCATTAAAGCAGACTGTTAATATGCCCTTCACTTGTACTGGGGGACCATCGGCCTGGGACAAACAAAACCTCAGCTTTAGAAACTCGTACTGGGCTTTGTCCAAAACAAACAAGGACGACATAATAAGAACAAATCACTTCCTCCCGGTCCTTCAACGAATGAGTAACTAATGTCTATGAATTCCACATAAATGGAGCTTGAAGTTGCCCCCATACAAAGAATTTTAATAAAATGCAGAATTATTTTGGATTTTATTGTTATTGTTTGTGGAACCAGTCATGCTGTAATCAAGAGTGAGAAGAACAGGTCTCAACTGGTATTGTTTACTGTATTACTTTTTTTTTCTTAAGGTAGAAATGGGCTTGATAGTGATGAAAAAGACACATCAGTGGCATCCTGAAGCAAGCACAGACTGTGGATAAGCAAGAACACATACCATTGGGCCACCATGTGAGCAGACAAGCCCTACGCCAAGCTAGCACAGCACTCACAGGCTGATTTATACCACCAACAAAACTGTTTTCTTAGATTGTGTCTCTTCATGCCACAAAGTACAGCTGCAAGCCATCATGACTCCCACAAAATCATGTGAGGGGGAATTAGCAACCCACAAATTTAGCTTTTTACAAAATGTAAGTTAAACAAAAGGCAGGGTTTTTTGATGATATATGAAAGCAATCTCTATAATGTTGAAAGTGAGTGCACAGATGGCATTGAATAAAAAAAGGAAGACACTCGAGTACCAAGGATAGCACAAGGCGTTGTCGGCTGAGTATGAACAGGGTTTCTGATACTGCCAAAGAAGGAAGCACAGAGAGCAGAATAAACAGTGTTAAAGTGTGAGAAATCCTGGGAAGAGTAGAACTGGAAATCAACAGCTCTCATTTACACAGGATTTCCAGTTGAGATGGGACCTCACAGCTTAATTTCTCGCTAAATCCATCTCCTGCGTCAAGTCTGCTCATTTCAGATAAGACTAATAGTCTGAGGACTATGGGACGGGGAGAGGATTTGGCGGGTGGACAGAGCTGATGCAGAGATACATCACATTTTTTCTTGAGTCTTTTGCAGCCAGATTTTCTTCCAAGGTTGACCTGTATTTTGGTTTATCCACTTTTCTTGTGACACTCTTTCCTGTACCTGCTGAAGAACAAAATCCCACAGCATGATCTGGCACCCCAGGTCTGACAGAGGGAATGGTGAGATTAGAGCAGTGTTAGTTTACCACAAGGGCTACAGGATATTTTAAATAAGTGCTATAGGCGATAACAGTATGTATTGCAATATTTTCCTTCCCCACAAACATTAATATGCATGTTGGAAATGCAGTGTCTTTAGAAAAAAGTTTCTCTCTTTTTCACTCAACTCTCCTTCTCCTGCCACGTTGTATTTTGTTATTTCCATCCATGCCACATTGAGTCTGAACACGCTCCAGCAGCACAAGGCAAAGCTTATACATAAAAGAAAACATAATTTATACATCAAACAATTCTAAACTATTGCACACCTTTGTGATCAATATTCCACTTTCCGCTCTTATTGAAATTATAACAATACTTTTTGTTTGGTAATCTCTGAAGGCAATTGTTGGCACTCAAAGAAAGCTGAATACTTTGTCAATGGTAAATAAAAAGAATCAATGCATATTTTTCTTTTACTTCACAATTGTCAGTCACTTTGAGTTAACAAACAAATCCAATAAAATACAATTGTAATGAGACAAAATGTGAAAAAGCTCTTGGCGTATTTTCAAGGCCTTGTCAATTTTTTCTATTTTTTGATATAGTGCTTGGCCACCTTGTCTAAGCGATACAAAGGATTTATCGAACTTACACTGTGTCAGACAGGTTCAAACAACATGGAAACTTGCAGAAACACAGAACTTGTCAGCTGTATTCAAAGCACATCTACAGTAAACTCAGCATCAGAGATCAATCTGATAGTTCATTGAATGAATGAAATAAACATTGTATAGAATAAAAAATTGTAAATGGGACAAGGGAGAAGAAAAGAAGCCAACACAAAGCCCTCTTATTGTAAAACAGTCTAGAAAATCCATAGTTATGACTCCTATAAAACATTTTTTCTCACAATTGAAACCACACATGAATCTAAAATCCATCACATATTTTCCACTGTAAAAACAACACTTGTACAATGACTTGGTACAGCTTAAGTAGAAAAGGTGTTACAATTAATATCTCTGCCAGTCATGAAGAAGTGTTATATTTGTGCATTAAAATACAAGGGAGTTCTTTTTCTGTAATTGTTAATTTTGTGGTTCGATTTGGCAAGGCTTGAAGGTTCGTTATTATTATTTTTAAAGCAGAGTGGCAAACATTAAACAACAACAGTTTCTACTTAATTTGGTAGAAATATAACATTGTTTTACATTTTCTTCAATTTAAATGGAAAAATGAATCCAAAACCACTAATAAGAACACCCAATCCTTCAACGCAGGACAATGGCATAAGCTTTTTTGAAAAAAGGTGACAAATATTATTTTCTATTATAGAAGAAAATACAGAACACAAAAGCAGTTAATAGACAAACACGCAATCAATCAAAAAAGCAAGAAGCAATCAATCAAAATGACCAGTGTACAATCCAACACACTGTCATCATTGAACATGTCTGCGAGTTTGTAAAAGATAGATTTGACATTTTGTATTCTTATTTAAAGCTGTACCAAGTCAGCGACACTTGGAACCCCTTTTCAAAGTATGCTTCAATTTAAATGGACCAAATCATCACATTTTCATTAGCCATCCATTTCCCATATTAAATTGCCCTGTCACTTTGCTGCTATCTGAAATTGTGTATGCCTTTGATAACTCCATTAAGTGATGCGATGGCAGAAAGGCTGGCCAGCTGGAGCAAGCAGCGGGAACATTTTAAAGCCTGATGTAAAGCAGGATTTTTTAAACTATCTTTAAAAGTGAACCCGACTAGGACTTTTAAATGTATTTTAAATGTATTTTAACACTGTCATGTCAAATAATCCCTGAAAATTGCATAGAACTCAGGTGTGATTGTATCAGCACCAACAGATTTAATCTTTAATCTTTATTAATGCAGATTTACCTCTGCATATGTCCTGAAAAGTATCTTTAAATTCATGAGTTTAATCTGATTGTCTTCTGATCTTTTTAGTAAATGATCTGAAGAAGAAGATAAAAACAGTGTTGATCTATTGGTTCAAATTCCCTCCATAAATTCAAAGCGGATTAAAAACAAATCAACATACTAACTCTGAAACCATTAATCTAAACGTTTTATATAGCTCACTAAAGTGAAGTAAACATCAGTCTTACCTGGAAGCCCTGGATGCGGGCCAGGTAGTCCAGCTGCTGGGCAGGCTGCACAGCCACGCCGCAGGGCAGCGAGGAGCCCTTCCCCTTAAGGGGCAGGGTGCCCTCAGCTGTAGGAGACTGGCCGTTGAGGAGCAGCTCACGGGCCATGACCGCAGTGGGATTGGGGGGCGAGGATGCGTTTCCATAGTAAGGAGTGTGTCCTGGGGGTAGTGGACCCATGTCTTTGGATGTCATGTAGTTGACCGAGCCACTGTTGTTACTTGGGACAGTGCCACTTCCCTGCTTTCTGCTGGCTTCCATCTCCTGGTACACATCCGGGCTGAGGTGGAGCAGGCCTTTCTGAGCTGCAGAGAATAACATGATCTTGATTAGAGATTTTAACGCTAAAGACATTTTATTTTGTTCTTGCATTCCCTAATACTATATGCCAGGGCATGACATGGGTACGCTTTAGGGAATACACAGATGCGTTGGCTTCGAGAGTGGCATTCCTTCAGTGAACGTAGATGACAGTTTCATGTGGTTTGGCTGTTCCCAGCACTATCAAAGTGTTTGCTGGGAAACACTCACACACAGCTTCTTTTTTTCTTCTCTGAAACACAAACACTCAAACGAAGGATCTACCAATATCAACAGAACCGCTATGACTTCATCAGGCGTTTGATGGGAAGCAGTGCTGTCAGTAAAGCAGCATATTCACTTCAAAAGGGAGGCTCACATTCAGATACCGGTGATATTTCTCTGGAGTCAAGAGATATGGTGGGGAACTTAAACATTTTAAGCCAAAAGCTCCCTCTGCATTCCAATGGGTTTCTCTTTTGGTGCCCTCATCAAAGATTATGGATTATGAAACTGAATGAAAACTGCAAGACAATAAAGGATACATTCAAAGTAACTGATCACATACCTCTTCGCATTATACTAATTTATTTAAGCATAAAAAATTAGCAATTACAATTTAAAGGCAGATGTGTCTAACGCCTACAGTCACTGGAGACTCGGGTCCAGCTGTGAGTGTGGCTGTTGTTCATGTGAGCGCGTACAGCTGGGGAAACGCCGGAGCAAGCCCAAAACTGACAGGCCACTTCCTGTTTGAGTTACCGTCACACACAAAACACGCTGTACACTTATTCTTAGCTTAACGTAGTGTCAGATTTCTGAGAACCTGCAGACAGCTATTCTCATGAAGAACAAGGAGAGTGGTTCTTTACTGCAAAAGCTTAAGGAAATGGCCATGAAATATAGCCTTTATTACTCATACTACAACAAAGTGACCCATGCCAGGAATGACACAACTTGTGGGAGAATTTCCCTCCTGACTCCTAAGGATGATGACAACTTTAATATGAATTTACACAAGCAAGACTCACAGGCCTTGAGCCATTAAAAATGAAAGGTGTTAGCCAGCATGACGTTAGTGGTCGACACAGTTATTTATGCAGTTTGGCTTGAGTGTAATCTGTGTGTATGTGTGAGCATGTTTGCAAGAAAAAAAAGAAAAAAAGAAAAGGAGCGTTTGTGAACTATTCTTTAGAAATGATTGGAGTGAAATCCGAAAAGTAAAATTTGATGATAGAAATAGTGTTTGTAGTGGTTTAAGACTATTTTATCGCTGAAGTCCCACCCAGAGTTGGAGTCCAGTGGGCCAGGGGAGCTCTGGAGGGAAGCCAGAGCCAAGCATGAGACTGATCGAAAACAGATAGCGCCCGAGCCCGCCACTATAAATCACCAGTGTGAAGCAAGAGCCTCACATAGCTCACACACATGGGCCCAGAGCACACACGAGACACATGCAAGCACACACACACACAGTGGGGAATGAAATGTGGCAACACGACTGAAAAGGCCCGTTGCAGTACCCATGGGAATAAAAGGAAGAAAAATCACTGGGCTCACTGCTTTTATTAGTGTCTGGTCACCCTGTTTGTTATGGGCCCGCATCCTTCAGCGCACATGGAGCTGATGACAGGGCTGGACACAAAAGCGCACACAAAAGGTCTGTGGTGCATGACATGGTTCAATCCAGGAATATAGTGGCAAATCACTTTCACAATGAAGGGAATGGAGTTCTTAAGTGGATATTTAACAAAACAGTTCGGCCAGTTTCACTAGTCAAGAGCGGTGTCTTTTACAGATGTTCCTCTTGTGTTACATAGTTAATAGAGCCTATTAAATAAGTTTATGGTCCCATTGGTCGTTCAAAAAGGGCTCAAGAACTTGTAATATTAGAAGACCGTTAACACAAGTGACTACAGTAGTTGACTAAAATGCAGTATTATAAAGATTCTTTTTCTTGATAAATTAATGCAATGTAGGTGTGAAAGTGGCGATTCTCTGATCTTTTGGATGGAGGTCCCACCAGCCTCAACAACAAGAGTCAGACAACATACCCCCGTAACTACAGGAAAAGTGCTTTAAAAAGGTGGCATCAACAGACCGTAACAGTGCTGCACCAACCGCATTGTAACAAATGCCTTAAGAAAGTAATAAGTCTGGGAACTCTATTCAGGAGGTTTATTTGGGCAACACCAATCAGAGCAATTTGGCAATACAAACCACAACAATTCAAACAGAAGAAACCATTTATGTATACTTAAACAAAATGGGATAAATCACAAGTGAAGCCAGAGTTGTGGTTCATCTGAACTGAGAATATAAAGTCTGGATGTTTTTTTTTGCTTAAAAAGCGTTGGCCCGCACATCCGCTCCCTCGTCAGGCGGGAGCAGGATACCTCGTGTCAGAGGAGCAGTCTCCATTGACAACAGTGACAACACTTACAAATCTAATAAAGAAATGTTTGTTTTCCACTCCACTGCTCTACATCCCACTGACTATTCATTTAAACCAAGCTTTTTCAGGGTATGAGACTGTAATGTACATCCCTTTTAAGAGCATCTCAAACTGGAAAAATTCTGTGAACGGAAATGATGATGATTGCTCCACAATATCAATAAAACACGTGGAAATCACAAACAGCTATGATAACAAATAAACAACTGCATAGAACAGACTCTTGAGTGATAATTACGCTTTTTATTTGGATTATAAGAGTGCACAGCCAACAAGTAGATAAAGCACAGCTGTTGCCATCTTAACTTTGCCCTGATGTTTGAGAGGTCCATGAGCCACGCCCTACGTATAAAACGAGACATCCCATAGGGTCTTCAAACACAGTTATAAATCCTATTTTGCATTGATCTGTGCTTGGAGACTGGGACAAGATATTTTTCTCCAATACCTTCTTTTATAAATAATTGCTCCCCTGGATCACAGCTCATGTCCTAAGTAAGGGATAATGATTAGTTATTTGTAAGTCCTCTGCATTTGACCATTTTTCAATGCCACTTGGCCAACCTGTCAGGAGCAGTCGCCGCCATCTCCAGATGCTTGGTCAGGACTACCAGAGCAGGAAGATTTTACATATGGTCTTTGGTAGATTGGGCAAACCGAAGCACCCAGAGGGAACCCACCCAGACATGGGGAAAAACATGCAAACTCCAAAGAGAAAGGCCCGGGCCGACATGTGTGCCGCCAGAATCCAAATATGTATATTTTGGTCTGGAGATGATAATCCCAACATTATACTATATATACTAGTTTGATCTGCAAATGTGCATCTTTAGCTCTGAACGCTAATCCTAAGTGAAAGCCTAAATTTTTGTCGCACAGGAAGGCAGAGGGGGACGGGCTCCCTGGTGGGCCTCAGCATCCATCCCGTATAAGCCGTGCATGAATAAGGCTGAATTCGCAGGCTCCCCACGAGGACGCAGGGGTATTAAGCTGACAGTCAGAGCCCCATTGACCAGTCACAGAGATTAAACGCTGGGCCATCTCGCCAGATAAACCCACCTGCAGGACAGAGGAGGAAACCAGGAGCGCTCATACTCACTGTTACTTGTAGCTTCAGTAAATGGCGCCTTTTGTCCATTCCAGCCTTTGTTGTCCATCTATAGTTATAAGGAGAGAAGCAGGGAAAGGGGTGGGGAGGTAAGAGAGATGTCAAGTTTCACAACAGACAGCTCCTTCACGCATGTCGGAGGAGTTCCTTCCTACTGTTTGGCCCACAAAGAGACGAACGCTCACAGGAGGGGATGCTTAAGAAGCCTAGTGTCTGTCTCAGCCAACTACTTAATTAGGGGGGTTGTCAGTGTTTCCGAGCTAAAATGGATCTCATTCAATGTGTGCAGTGGTATAATTTCCTGCCTATGCAAGCATTTAACTAAAAAACTATGCAAGCATTTAACTAGAAATACAACAAACAACAGTTTACCAATCCTATAATAAGGTTACTTGGTTTTAGAAGCTGCGTCTCCATTATAAAACTATAAAGCATACATTTATTCACATAGCCTTGTCACAATATGAATGTGACATTTAGTGTACAAAGGTTTACAAAAAAACTGATATATTCGACAGTGATGGACAACTTTTCCAATCTTGGTAAGAGCACTTCCTCATAACTCCTAGGATATCACGGAGAAGATAAAGTATATTCTGCACCACATATCTGACTAATGAGCTGTCTGGGGAGCTATGCACATTTCTATTCTAAATAATGCATCTTCAGTTTTATATGATCAGTGCTTAAACCAATGACGTGACCAGGAAAGATAATTGATTATTGGTTGACGTGAAAAAACACAATCAGTACATCGCAAGGGCTTACGTATTGAATTAAACGTGTCAGCAGAAACAAGACGGACTAAATTGAAGAATTGACTCCAAGAATTGGATTCAGAGCAGCACTGTATAGATGAGATAAAGACCACATGGTCTGAATTTCAACTACTTTTTATATAGCTGCGTAATCATTTGTGAAAGCAACATTTCTTTCTAAAAAATGGCAATGCTAAAATAAAATGTACATCTTACATAACATTGCCTCACATGACCCACATAGCATTCACTACGCACTAAACAATTTGGACAAATTTTTAAAAATCTCACTACACCTAATGTTTGGATTTGTTTCGAACCTCCTCAAGTCTTGCAATCTTGTCATGATAATAAAGACAAAACCAGCAGGACTGAATACAAAAAATAGTGCTTATGTCTAGGTTTTTTGTCTACTTGTATCTAAAGTAAGGGTTAAACATTTACTAATAAGCCACATGTGGTTAGTATTTTGTGTTCTCAAAATGTGGTCATATATTTACTACGGCTAATTCTGAGTTCTGCAGCTAGTATTGATTCCTTCAATTGTAACGAATGTCTAAAAGTTAAAATAAAGAGAAGTGTGATGACTGCACATACCTCTGTGGGGCTTGGTGTTACTGAGGAGGCCTTGTATCCCAGCTGCAAGAGCATCGCCTCGGCTGCGTTGCGTTTGGCCACTTTCTTGTTAGGTCCTGTTCCCGTGGCAACTTCATTATTCACTTTTACCTAAATGCAAAAGAAAAAACCCCAAAATCAACATAATTCAACAAAGTGTTTAGTTTGCTGATTCCAAAACATGAAAATTGTTGACATAAGAGGCAAACAAATTATTTCAAAGGGAATTTCAGCTGTCGTTGTGTTATTCAAACATGCAATTACACAGTACAAATTACCCCGCTGATGCCAAATCCTGTAAAAGGAACAGAGCAAATCAACTCAAGAGTGGTTTGACATGTTGACAAATGTTTAGCTGTATCAAGCAGAACGCACAAAACAAGGTGATGAGTGACTCAAACAATTTCCTCGTTTTGAAAGAGCAGCTGCCGAGACTTGATACAATGATTAATAAATATAAACTATGACCGAGCAAAGAGGGATCACAGACATACAACAGAACAACACACACAAGCTGCTGTGTGTGCATAAGCAGCATGGAGAATAGGTTTGAAACTGCTCCTGACGCAAAGGATTGGTCTTTGAATGAAAGACAAGGATTAAAGGCTGAGAGAGCTCCAATTTAGGGAGCAAGAATAAAAGGAATTTATTTTTTGCAGAAAGAATAACTTGAATGTGAATATATTAATCATTTACTCTCAGGACAATCCTTTTTGTCTGTTAATGATCTGGAGTTTAATGTGTGACCACCACAGACATGCAACACTAAACAAAGCAAATTAGTGTGATCTGATGAGATTTCCCCTCATGCAAAGCCTCTGCTCTATTTACTGGCTAATAAACAGCACTCATCCGTGACTTATTCCAGGGTTAAAGGTCCCTACTGCAGCATGAGCATGACATTTTTATTCTGTGAATGAATGCAGACTCCATTATGCACAGGCTACTCTCATCACTGAAAAGTACAGGGTGGATTCTTCTAAACAAAACTGAAATGATAGATTTACTACGATGAATATCTTTGAGCTGTAAAAAATATTGTAGACTCCAAACATGTATGAGCTATATCATAAAAAGTATTTTTTTAAACATAGGCTTGTTTTATAAAGACTTTAACAATCTTTGCCATAAAGCTTTTATTTCAGTATTTCAAACTAACTGCCTTCAAGGGCTGTTTTAACACATTTTCCAATCATAGAGGTCAACACTAAAGACAGAAATAGGAGACTGCTTCTGCCCCCAGAGAAAAAGTAGCATTATATAATGAAGTGGTGGCTGCCACTGACCAGACAGAGAAGTTATTCTTGGTCTTGTTCTGATCAGAAACACAGCTGGTATGTGGCTGGTTTAAGAGCTTTAACCCTCCATTAACTACTTAACTAAGGCTGGGTATCTTTCAGAGCCTGCCAATAAGTATATGTATCTATATATAGGGGAGATTGAATTTGATACGATTTGATATATTTCTAAATGATATAATACGGTTCAGAAAAACAAAATCTCTCACTCTGCTACATTTATGCAAACATGAATACTATTGCATACTATTGATGCATTGGTGTTTTCCTTATTGAATTATTAAGAATTATGAAAGAGGAATAAAAAATAAAAAAACAATCTGCAAATAAAAAATCTGAATAAAATAAAAGCACACCCCTATTCATAGGTCTATAGAACTCAAAAACAATAGTGTTAGTATTTCGAGTATACTAGTTACCTGCATAATGAACTCCCTGCGACGGGGCATCCCTCTCTCTGAGAGCAGCACGTACTCCGGCTCCTTCTCCTTTTTGGCCTGTTGGATCTGGGCCAGTCGGCTGATTGGATTCATGCCTTGGCCATAGTCCGGTCCTGTCTTTATGGAAATAAAAAGGATGCGTTCAATTTCCCTCATTGCAGACACCCTATCTTTATTACCGTGTTCAGTCTAGTGGGATCACACTGATAAGAAGTATTCATGTTTCATGTTTGACTTTATACACTAAACTTGAACGGAAATGTCTCAAACAGATACAGTGCCTTGCGAAAGTATTCGGCCCCCTTGAACCTTTCAACATTTCGCCACATTTCAGGCTTCAAATAAAGATATACAATTTTAATTTGTTGTCATGAATCAACAACAAGTGGGACACAATCGTGAAGTGGAACAAAATTTATTGGATAATTTAAACTTTTTTAACAAATAAAAAACTGAAAAGTGGGGCGTGCAATATTATACGGCCCCTTTACTTTCAGTGCAGCAAACTCAGTCCAGAAGTTCAGTGAGGATCTTTGAATGATCCAATGTTGTCCTAAATGACTGATGATGATAAATAGAATGCACCTGTGTGTAATCAAGTCTCCGTATAAATGCACCTGCTCTTTGATAGTCTCAGGGTTCTGTTTAAAGCGCAGAGAGAACCATGAAGACAAAGGAACACACCAGGCAGGTCTGAGATACTGTTGTGGAGAAGTTTAAAGCCGGATTTGGATACAAAAAGATTTCCCAAGCTTTAAACATCTCAAGGAGCACTGTGCAAGCAATTATATTGAAATGGAAGGAGTATCAGACCACTGCGAATCTACCAAGACCCGGCCGTCCCTCCAAACTTTCATCTCAAACAAGGAGAAGACTGATCAGAGATGCAGCCAAAAGGCCCATGATCACTCTGGATGAACTGCAGATAACTACAGCTGAGGTGGGAGAGTCTGTCCATAGGACAATAATCAGTCGTGCATTGCACAAATCTGGCCTTTATGGAAGAGTGGCAAGAAGAAAGCCATTTCTCAAAGATATCCATAAAAAGTCTCATTTAAAGTTTGCCACAAGCCACCTGGTAGACACACCAAACATGTGGAAGAAGGTGCTCTGGTCAGATGAAACCAAAATAGAACTTTTTGGCCACAATGCAAAACGATATGTTTGGCGTAAAAGCAACACAGCTCATCACCCTGAACACACCATCCCCACTGTCAAACATGGTGGTGGCAGCATCATGGTTTGGGCCTGCTTTTCTTCAGCAGGGACAGGGAAGATGGCTAAAATTGATGGGAAGATGGATGGAGCCAAATACAGGACCATTCTGGAAGAAAACTTGTTGGAGTCTGCAAAAGACCTGAGACTGGGACGGAGATTTATCTTCCAACAGGACAATGATCCAAAACATAAAGCCAAATCTACAATGGAACGGTTCACAAATAGACGTATCCAGGTGTTAGAATGGCCGAGTCAAAGTCCAGACCTGAATCCAATTGAGAATCTGTGGAAAGAGCTGAAGACTGCTGTTCACAAACGCTCTCCATCCAACCTCACTGAGCTCGAGCTATTTTGCAAGGAGGAATGGGCAAGAATTCCAGTCTCTCGATGTGCAAAACTGATACATACCCCAAGCGACTTGCAGCTGTAATTGCAGCAAAAGGTGGCGCTACAAAGTATTAGCGCAAGGGGGCCGAATAATATTGCACGCCCCACTTTTCAGTTTTTAATTTGTTAAAAAAGTTTAAATTATCCAATAAATTTTGTTCCACTTCACGATTGTGTCCCACTTGTTGTTGACAAAAAACAAAAAATATTGTTTTTATATCTTTATGTTTGAAGCCTGAAATGTGGCGAAATGTTGAAAGGTTCAAGGGGGCCGAATACTTTCGCAAGGCACTGTATGTAGACGCACACATTTCCACTTCCAATCCAATCCACTTAATTTGTATTGCACATTTTATAAACAAACTGTGCTGTGTATAGATACATTAACAATAAATGTCTGCCAAATAAATATAATGTAGAAATCAAAATAAAACCTAATCAAAATAAATTAAAGTAAATAATATAAATAATAAAAAGCCAACATTGGACCACACAAACTCAAGCTGTGTTAAAAGCAGAGAACAAAAATGGGTCTGAAGACGAGACTTAAACACTATAGGAGGCAGAAAAGTTCCACAGCTTTTGAACCCTGTCCCTCTGGGTTTTAAGTCTCATCGTAGGCACCACGATCTGGAGCTGGACCTCAGAACTCAACGCACAGTGAGGGTGGTAAAAACTGAATCGGTCCGAGATGTTCTGTGGGCCTGGATTTACGGTGTATTTAACCCCACGTTCTCTGTAATACCTTGAGGATGGTCTTGGTACGTTTCTTGTAATGTGTTTTGGGTTTTTCCACAACCGGGATAAAAGGCAGCTTCTTCAGATCTAGCAGAATGGACAGCGCCGCGCGTTTCTTGGACAGTTTCTTGCTGTTGCCTTCGCCCTCAGCACTGAACTCCCCAACGGTTACCCGAGTCAGAAAGCTCTTCATGTGAGGAGGACCGCTCTCCTTCAACACCTGCGGAAGACAGTGCCAAAACAATGAAATTCAGATTAACTGCACGTTATTTCAAAGCAAAACACCAGCAAAAATATCCCTCTTGTTTATTTTAGTGGAAGGAATGAAATGGTTAGAGTCCTTTGATCCATCCAATTGTGTTAAAGCCACAAGCAAAGCCAAGATTCAAGAGCCCAACAGTCAAATCAATGAAAAATTACTGAAGGAAAAATGCACCAAATTCTGTTGATGTAATTATGTAGGCAATGGCATTTAAGCAAGCCAAAGCAGAAAGTCATTAAATTCATTAAGTTCTTTTGCCTGACCCAGTTTACAAACAAGCCCATTATCCCTGAGGAGTATTTATCACAAGTCTAATCACAGTCATTTGTTCTCAATAATATTCAGCTTGAGCAGAGGTTTGTGGGCGTACACTTAATCAAGATTTTTGTACATCACTTCACATCGCCAGGTGGCCCAGAACATCTGTGCCTCGCCCATGAGCACATGTTATTTATACCCAGCACCGATGTCCAAAGACACTTGAAGACTAACATGTTCCTAGATGACAGTCTCAAGTGATGAGGGCTCAGTTTCCTTCCTCTAGACTCTGGTCACCTGGGAGACCTAAAACAAACACCAACTAGTGTTAGCTCATGGTTTTGTAATCAAATACTACTTCCTGTAAAGCCTAAAACGCAGGGTAACAGGTGGAGCCCTCCCGTCTTCATATGTGGTAAAGAAACCACAGAAATAAGTATTCCAACACTTACTACTTCCAGCATATGTGATTGATGAGCAAGAGCAAGTTCTGGTTTGTGTATGCACGTCTCTGCTGCCTTGACGTTGCAGACAGCACAAATTGCAACAATCAGATGCAATCTACAACAGTTAATACAAACCCAGTGACCGCAAAAAAGACTGAATCAATCATGCAGGCTATCTGCATTCCACAAGCGTTTTACATCAGCACACTTTAATACAAGTATCCAGGAGGAACAATGAGGGAGTTGTTCAGGAGCACCATTTCCCCTTTATAAACCTGCAGCTTTAGAAAGACAAACACATAAACGTTCCACTATTGAGCTTCCCAAGGGTTGAAATATTCTATTTATTTATTCCTTTGAAAACGACATATTGCCGGGATTTCATATTTTGACACAAAACTGAATAAACAGGATCCAATCTCCTTATGAGGTAATGTAAAGTATTTGAATTGCTCAAATTCTCAGTTTGCAGGGAACAGAACTGTCAATACTAAAGTGCTCAGACTGACCCTTAGGATCTGCTCTGGTGCAGATCATCCCAAATACAAGCAAACGTACAAAACACTTAACCTCTGTCATTGGTGATGACAACAGTATATAATGTCAGCCGCTCACCAGTCGACTTCACTTAGAGAAACTAAACTAATCTTTGAATGAATAATGACATTTTCATTTTGACCATTATTCATTTTTACAGAGGTGCTTCTTCTTAAGCCAATTCTAGATTGAAGAAGAAACACTTTATCACTTGGTCAAATATTATTCTTAAGAACTAATCGTTAAAAGGAAATTAGTAATTTACCAGTTACTCACAACTCACTTCCACATACACTTTACCTTCTGATGAGATTTGTTTTTTTGGCAGACTCAAATATTTAAATGTGTTACTTTTATCTGTGCAGCCCTTTGGAAATGTGTTTTATAAAATGTGCTAAATTGGTAGTAGATTGGATGCATTCTTTGGTTGTTCTAGAATTTAAATTTTCTTGGTTTGAAATTCCTACATTAAAGTTGTATTTAAAAATAATAGTTTCTCCAACTACTTTTTCCCTTACTTTAATCACTGTATGTATGGTACATGTAGTATTGTATTGTATACAATATTTTAATTGCATTCGTGATAAAGAGTTTCAATGCTGAGATCTGGAGTAAGACTCCACACAGTCTTGGCTCAGAACGAGAGCAGACAAGCTGCAGTCAGTCTCCTGGCAGACGATACAGGATCTGCACCGATGGGATTTCAGTGATTCCCATTCATTCACAAGCGCACCTTCCCCATACACATCCAAACAAACAGACAAACACGCCCGGCTAGAACCAAGGATCAGATCAAGTTGTCGACAGGAAGCGCCTGGTAATTCAATGTTGATCTTTTTTTGTTACTGTCTCCTCAACATGGGAGGCCTTGGTATCAGCTGCTGATTGAGACATTAAAACCCTTGGCAGTCAGCGGGGGTGTGCATGAGATCTCAGGTACTGTGCTGATGCAGGGCAGGACAATGGCAAGGACTGGTACAGCAAAGAAAGCCTCTTTTGTGACGAGTGGATGGACAAGCCCTTAGGGAAGCTGCCTCATGTGAGATGGGAGGTTCTTGGCTTGGACATTCGTCTTCTGTGTCCAGTTGGAACGGGAGACGATCTACATACAAGTAGTGATTGAAAGAATTGATAGTCTTTGACGCTGACACCCGTTTGATATTCCCTGATGGTGGGATAGGGTAACTTTAACGACTCATATTGCTTTAGCAATGAGAACGCTGCTCTGCAGCAATGACTCATTGGTAAAGTCATACTCAGGTACAGGGAAGAATGTGAAATCAGTGAAAACAAAGCTCTCAAAGGATATGTGGCATCTATAGGAAGCATGTGTTGGTGGACGGCTGGAAGGTTCCAGGATCAAGTATGACACACTCACAAAGATATAACATGACAGAGCACAGGACGGACTGGTGTTTTTGAATGAGTTACATATAATGGACTCAAAAGCAGAAAAGATCCACAGAGAATTGAGTCATTGGCATGGTTGAGTTATAGCCAGAACATATTGACTGTGTGAGAACCTGTAGCATGCAACACTTTTGATTGAATAAAAAACAGGCACCAGTGGTATGTACTCTCAAGAGGTATGATCGCCCAACAGCCGGATG